AAGCCTCTAGACATGGGTTGCCCATTGAGGATCCAGGAGAGGGCCTCGAAGAGCACGTCGCAAGCATATGGACCGTACTTGCAAGCGCTATAATAGATGGCATCAGGACCAGGGGCCGAGTCGGCGAGGTGCCTGATGTATTTTTCCATATCATGATAACGGGGGGGAGGGAGGTCACGAAGATCGACTTGGGTACACCAGCGGTCCAAATACCTTTGTCCTGCGTTTTCGTCCACTGGTTTCTTCCGAAATACCTGTCCCCAATGAGTGGCAATCACGTTTTGCATCTCGAGCTGGTCAGTCAAGATGCGGTTGCCTGGGCGAACCCCAATCAGCTGCAGGCGTCTGTCAAAAGGGGCCCACAGCCGGCTGCGCCTGACCAGACGTCTGAGGCGCTGGCGAACCTTAGCACGCTTAGACTCCGACTTCGCAGCAGGTAGCTCGTCCGTGACCCTGCGCTGCTCGCGGACGGCGTCCTGAAACTGAAGAGCGCCCAGCATATCAGAGAACCTCTGAGGATCCAAGAGAGGGCCCTGGAGGCGACGGGGTCCACGTTGAGGAGCTCTAGGGCCATGGGGTACATCATCAGCTTTCGGGCGAGATTCATATCGTTTCTCCAAACACATCGGCTAATAGATCTCATAAGTAGTAATTGTGCGGCTGGGTCCTGAGGGGCTTCTCGTAGGAGGGCATTGCGAGCCTGTCGGACACCTCCTCTCAAAACCTCCTTGTAGAAAAGCAACTTCTGGGGCGGGCTGAGAGGTGACACGTCGCTCTCCTCCCAGGCCTGCTGGACAAACTGCTTAAAGAGCGGGAGCTGAAAATAAAACTGCTTGGCGATTGGGCGGGCGCCCACATCGGGGGGCTCGCGATGACGGAGATGAGCGAGAAGGGCGGCATGATCTGATATTCCTTTTTGTTCAAGTGTTTCTGGGTATTCGCATGCATTTATGTCCACCTGGAGACATGTAAGGTAATGACCAGGAAGGCTGGTAAATAGTCTGTCTAAATTCGATGTGTGTTGTTGTACTCCATTATAGCGTGTAGGTTCAGAACATTCTATCTCAACCAATGCCGAAAATATCTCCTGCCAGGCAGAGGCCCTCTGCCGTCGCCACTCTTGGAGGCCAGCGTGGGGCTCGAGATGAGCAGGCGGCGTGCTCTGCTGAGGCGGCTTCGCACAAATATTAAAATCACCAGCAAGCACAAGGACATACCGATCTGGGGTACGGCGAGCACGGGCAAGTTCTTGTTTGATCCGATCAATAACTCTCCTAGTCGTAGCATTATCTAAATCATGATTAGGAATGTTGAAGTGGGAGATGAAGAAGTGGGGGGAATCAGGCGCGGTAGAGATCGGTCCCAGATCCAATCGGCAGTGCAAGACTCTCCCAGAGACCAAAATCTCGGACCCGCACTGAGCCAGCTCATGGAACCCATTCTCTGGGGTAAGGGCGGGAAAGATTGTCGCCACTCCACCTCGCCCACGCGAGTCAGTAAAGGAGGCCTGCCCACTGAAGAAGCGCCGCGAGAAGAAGAGGAAATCGGAGAGGTCGTGCATGTTACCATGTGTCTCTTGCATCGCTATGATCGGGTTGGGTCTGAGGAGGGGCGCGAGGTAGGAGAGCTTGGAAGAGCGGGCGCGGGGATCGCGATGAAAGAGAGCACGGGCGTTCCAGGTGCATAGCGACAAACACCTGGCCTCGAGCGGCGCCCCACCAAGGACGCGGAATAAGTGGCTAAAGGCTCCGCGATGCACTGTCTGCGGCGCTGGCAAATGCGTCTCGCAGAGCGGGCTCAATTCTACTTCTATCAAGGTTGAGAGCGCGGATGTTGGCACTCTCGTACTCCAACGTCGGCACGGAGTTGTCGGTCTTGGGGGTGATCTTGACCACCGGCTTCCACTGCGAGGAAACAACTCCCGTGTGGCGGTCCACGAAGAAACGCATCGCTGGGTACAACTCCACAAGGGTCTTGCGGACGGTCTTCGTCGCAATCTCGAGTTTGATTTGACGGGGATTCTTATCAAACGACATGAACAACTCAGTCGGGAGATTGTTGCCACTGGCTTGGATGTTGAAGCGCCTGAAGTCTCCGCTGGGCAACTTGAGGGCGCCCATGGCCTGGCATACTCTGCGAGCGGCCCAGCCAGCAGCGCCCTTGCACTTGATGGTGAAACGCTTCGCAGCAGCGCCGCGAAGCTGCCACGACTCCTCCTCCCAATTGGAGTCGGCGAGCCACGGGGTAATGGCCTGCAGTACACGATCACGCGGAACCATGTGTGGGCACCGCACGATGATGATGGTGGGGTCAATCTCTCTGTCGAACTCCCTGTTGATGATACCTTCAGCAGCTGCCGCAGGGGATTCGGTGGAGACGATGTTGACTTTTGCCTTGAGTGCATCAAGCTCGGCGCGCATCGCGGCGATGGTCTGGTCAGTGTTGTCCAGGCGCCTCTCAACCTCCATGAAGCGCTGCTGGATGGTCTGGTCCACCGACGAGTAGTGGCGGTCGACGGACTCGGTGAGCTGGGACATGGCGCGCTGCACTGCGGCCACAGACTCCATGATGTGGACCTTGGTGTCGCCCACATGCTTACGCAGAGCATCAGCATCAGCAATAGATAGCGACCGTAGCGGCGAGCGTGAACCCTCTCGCCGAAGCCGAGCGCTGGATGGTTGGCCATCGCCGTGAGATCCCATCGGCGAAGAGTACAGTATGGAGAAAGCGGCTCCCGCTGGGGAGGCAGGGCGAGCAGAGAAAGGAGATCGGTGTCCGCCTCCGCTTGCACGGAGGTATGCTCACTGGTGTGGGCTGCCCACTCGCGACCATAGGTCTTGAGCCAAAATGGCAACGGACCTCCTCCTCCTCCTCCTCCCCCTCCTCCCCCTCCTCCCCCTCCTCCTCCTTCTCCTCCTCCTCCTCCTCCTCCTCCTCCTCCTCCTCCTCCTCCTCCTCCTCCCCCTCCTCCTCCTCCTAGCACATGTGTGCACCCAGCCTCCTGGCGAACTTTCGGAGGCCCGCGCGGATGTCTTCCCCGCGCGCGCGGAGCCTGGCGGTGGCAAGGCTGGATGCGGCGCTGGCGGTGCTGACGGCGGCGCGGCTGGGGGCGCGAAGGGGGAGGGGGCCCAGCGCCGCCCCCCCCCCGCAGTGAACAAAATCCGGACATCGCCTGTCTGGGCTTCGAACGCGACCACGATGTTTTCAGCGCGGGATACCTAAAAGTCGCGACCCTCCCCCCCATCGGCTAAACAAAAAATAGCCCTAAATAAGAGTAACCTTTAGTGCGCAGCTTTTGGGGGCGCGAGATAGCCAAACCCAAGGGCGCGGGCCGCTTATATCGCATCGCGTTCGGCGATCGGGGGGAGCCCGATGAGCCCGCACCAAAGGCCACTCCGGCGAAGGGTCACTCTTACGTGTAGTCGACCCCAGGACGGGTCGTGCATCCTGGGTTGTTTTTGTTGAGGGCACCGAGGCCCCCGCGAGAACCCCCCGGAGGCCGAAAACTATTCAAAGCCTCCGGCGCCGTGATTTTGGCACGACGCGCGCACGTCTTGGTGTGCTCGTGTTAAGCCGGGCATGTCCATTGACAGGAAGGAAATTCAAGAATGGTCACACAACAAATCAGGGGACGATTGTTCTACTCTACTCTTTTTGGATATATATATATATATGTATACATATATATAAATGTATGTATGTTTGAGCACGTGTTGACTTTGTTACCTTCTTCTTCCAAGATCCGCCGGTAGGAGGACATGCCCGACCTGATGCTCGTGCCGCTCCTGCCCCTCGGTCCTTCCAGCCCTCTGCGAACCCCTGCGGCCCCTCCTGCTCCCAGACCCGGCCCGCCATCTCCCCGAAGGCCAGGGGCTCCGCGCCCTCGGCGAGGTCCTGCGTGATCCGCCACCGCGCCCCGTGGCGCCCGCGACGGAAGCGCGGGAGAGGCAGCTGGCTGCCCGGAGCCTGTTATTCTTTTTTGGATTTGGGCAAGCTTACATGCATGGCGTGCGACCCCCCTCCCCCCACCACCACCATCCCCCTCGCCCCTCTCCAGACGAATGCTGGTGTGCAAGCGCCTTTCGACTTGCGTGACTGCCGCACGCGCAAGTCGTTGGCGGCTTGCTTCAAGTTCAGGCCCCCCCCCTGTCGATGCAAGTAAACTTGCCGGAGTCTAAAAAAAAGGCTCCTGGCACGGCACGGTGAAGCATGAGGTTGGGCGCAGACCCAAACATACTCGAGTCGTGAAGAATCACGACGGGGGGTTGCTGGCCGTCTTCGGGCTCTGGCAGCCCTCGCCGCACCCCGGGACGGTCAAGAAACGGCCCGGGAGGAAGGGCCGGCCCTGGGGAGAGGGTCGGGACTTCTAGGGACACCGTACAGAAAAATCCGAGACGTCGCAACAGCCCCCAGAGGAACAGTCAAGCTGCTACCACAGGGATCGCTACAGAAGGAACGACGCCCTCGTTTGGCCTTAGTCGGGCACGTCCCTCGACGGGAGGAAAATTCCAAACAAAGTATTTGTTATTAAGCGTGGGGACGATTAAGCGACTATGTTTGAACAATATTGTGCCCCAAGATTCCGAACATCAAAAGAGTTCTTATTGTATGCGCCTGCCCCAGACCCCCGGCATCGTGATTTGTTCAAAACGTCGACCCCCATAGGTCTGACCACTTCCCCCGGGAATGGTGCCCGGGGAGGGCCCCAGGAGGCCGAAAATAGTGAAACCCCCCCCGTTGTGTTTTTTTTAACAGCGCGACGGGGTCTGGGGCTGTATCCTGAGCCAACTGCATCAGGACTTCAGCATAGCATGAGGAGGTCCGGGCCCCCTCGAGAATCGAAGGGGAGTACGTCGCCAATCGACCTAGCAGGGTGGGGCTGTCGCAGCCTCCGAGGGGCTTGCTTCTATGATGAGGAGGGGGATGAGGAGGAACATGGGGAGGAGGAGGAGGAGGAGGAGGAGGAGGAGGAGGAGGAGGAGGAACATGGGGAGGAGAAGGAGAGGGGGAGGGAGGAGGAGGGAGGAGGAGGAGGAGGAGGAGGAGGAGCAGGAGGAGGAGGAGGAGGGCCCAAGACCGCGGGCTGCAGGGTGCCCCTCAGGACCAGCCCAAGACGGCGGGCCCAGCGACCTGCCAGAGGCTTCAAGATATCGCCCATACCGTCGGGGCGTTGACCCCAGGAACCCTAAGTACGAAGCGAGGCCCCTCTTCCCCAGAAGTTAAACCTCGGCTTCCCGTCGAAAACCTGAGGAAAACCTGAGGCAAACTGCGAAACGATTGAGGAACACGGAGCCCCCCCCCAACAAAAAGGGTTCCTTCTTCAGCGCCCCGACTGCATCGCCCACACGTCTCAGGAGGCCCCGAGAAGTCCCCAAGAGGCGCTCGGGGGAACTGGCCGCAGGACCCTGGGAGGCAAACGGACGGAGGATCACACGGACGTCCTTGGAAATCTTGGCCATCCCACTCGCAGAGGCCCTCCGGCTTCAGATCGGCCCAGGAACGCTTGCAGAGAGGTGCACGAGGGCCCTCAGGCCATGTGGTCTTTCAAGACGGCTCCAAGACGCGCCCACCATTCGCGAGAGTGGTTCAACCAGACCTCTCGCGAGAGCTCTGCAGGCCACCCTCGCGCCCAACACGTCTCCGCGACCCAGGCGGGTCCCCAACGGGCCTTCTCTAAAGACTCCCAGGAGGGACCCACGATGCACCAAAGAAGCCCCCCCAAGAAACAAGCAGGATGCAGGACGACGGGAGCGACGAGGCTGCAGTATGGAAGGAGGGGACGCCTCGGGCCCGCCGAGAACTCAGACGCCGCGCCTGCATGGGAGCGGGTCTCAAGCTCGACCTCCCTCCGTCGGTCTGCGCGGCGGCGCGGTGGCAGGGTGTGCCGCAGGCTGCTGGATGATCCGCGTCGTCACCACGTCTGCGGGCACGCTTATCAAGGCGCCCACGGACCCGCCGATGGCGCCCAGCAGCGCCTCCACCAGCAGGCTGTCCACGTCCAGCTGGATGCCTGGCGACTCGACTACCCGCCACCGTGCCCCACTGGCACGCCAAGGCGTGTTGCGATGCCGAGTGAGGAAGAGGAGGAGGAGGCGGAGGAAGAGGAGGAGGAGGAGAAGACGAATAAAACTAATAATACTAATAATAATAATAATAATAATAATAATAACAATAATAATACTAAGAAGAAGAAGAAGCAGAAGAAGAAGGACGATTAGGACTCCGAGGCGCGTTGTAATGCCGAGTGTTGCCGACTCCCACGTCACAAACGGAGGGTGGGGGGGGGGCGTGCGCCCACCCCCTCCAAGCCTACCTGAACGATCCGACGCATCACTGGCGGCCTCGGCAGCTGTCAAGCTGCCCAGAATGGTCTCCGAGGACATCCCAGAAGTCTTCAAGACGACCCCCAAGAGGCCTCCAAGACGACCCAAACGGAACCTGCCGCCAAGGCACCCGGGGATAAAGCTCTTGAGGCCCTCGAAGACAGCCAGCTGCACCGCCCCGAAGGGGATGTCGCGCCAGAGGGAGGCGCTCCACGCAGCGAAGACCTGTATGACTTGGCGGCGAGCGAGGAGGGAAGAAAAAAGGAGAAAGCCTTCTCAGAAGGCGGCGGGACTTCTCAGAAACCCTCGCATCTTCTGACAAGATTTTGTGTCTTCGGGGAAGGCTTAGAAAACTTCTCAGAAGGCCGGGGAACTTCCGAGACTTCTGAGAGGGCCCGCCCCTTCTCACTTCCCCTCCTCGCTCGCCGCCGAATGACGAGCCTGATGCCATGATACAATCGGCTCAGGATACGGCAGGCGCATACCACAAGAACTCTCTTGATCTTGGGATTCTTGGGGCACGCTGTTCGTCGAGCTCTGAGGGCAGCTACTAGATGCCCCAGAGCGCCTGCGGGCCCTTGTGGGGCCCTCCGGGGACGAGGAATTTTGCCGCGTGGCGCCTGCGAGCAGCCCGCTTACTTACCTCATTTGCCTGCCGCACGCCATAGGGATTTCAGGAGTAGCCAGCGGCCCTCGTGACTGGAGAACGCACCGAACAGCAGGACCGCAGCACCAAACGCTTGCGCACACAGCAGAAGTTTCGGAGGTCCACGCCGATGTCTTGCATCGGTGCTGCCCCCCCCCCCCCCGCCTCCCCGGCGCGCGAAGCGCGCCAGGGGCGGCGCCGAGGGCGCCGCCAGGGAGGTCCAGCGCAGATCCAGGAAACCCGCGCGCGCCCCTCGAAAATTTACACGTCCATGCCGCTCTGCTCCCTCGAGGGAAGCCCTGGAAATCCTGGAGCGCATCACTCTATCATGATGTCTCTTGCCTCTTGCCCCTCTGAGGACCCGGGCTCTGCCGTCCTCGGTGCCCACCACGCGCTGCACCGAGTCCAGCGTGGAGGCGGCTCGCCCGCTCTGCACGCTGGTCTTGATTGCCTCCGCGGGGGCGCGCACCACGGAGCCGAAGAACTCGCCCACGGCCCCTGACACGAGGTAGACGGCCAGCGGGTAAGCGCCTCGGGTGCGCCGACAGAGAGAGGAGAGACCATGGAGGAGGAGGGAGGAGGAGAGAAGGAGGGAGGAGGGAGGAGGAGGAGGAGGAGAGAGGAGGAGGAGGTGGTGGGGGGGGTGGCGCATCGTTAGAGGAACAAGGCACAGCATAAACTAAACCTTCTGGCGCTCCGCACGGATGTCTTGGATCCGCGCTGGTCCCCCCGGTCCCTGGAGCGCGGAGCTCGCCCGGGGTGCCGCGGGAGGCGCCGCCAGGGGGGGCCCAGCGCGGGTCCGAGCAACCCGCGCGGAGGGCCACAAGTTTCTGCTCGTGGCGTTGTTCCTTCTTGGAACGACGAGTGGAGGTGGGGGCCAGCGCAGCATAGCCCGAGGCATGTGCGCGGACGAGGGGGGGGGGGGGGCAGGGGACGGGCTGAAGGAAGCAGAGGCCCTGGATCCTGGAGACACCATGGCCCTGGCCACGATGTCTCCCCCGCCCTAGTCCTCCTCCTCCTCCTCTTCCTCCTCCTCCTCCTCCTCCTCCTCCTCCTCCTCCTCCTCCTCCCCCCCCTCCTCTTCCTCCTGCTCCTCCATTCGTTCTCCTTATACATAACTCCTCCCTGTCGCACCCCGAGGCCAGTTTTAGGGCGGGCTGGGCGTTTCGCCTGAGATTTCCTCACCATCTATGACTCTGAAGCTTAAAACGTGACAACAGTTTCACAGATGGAGGGCGGTTCGCTATCAAAATGTGGCTCTTGCTTTAGCGCCGCGCAACCCAGAGGGTTGCAGGTTCTAATTCCTAGAACGTGCATGTAAATGTGATTACGTTCTAGGTTCTAGGTTCTAGGTTCTAATTTATACGTTCTTCTATTTTGTGGTTATATGCCTTTTATATATCATAGTTTGCGTGATATCACTATATACCGTTGCCGCGTTGAGAAGTTTAGGAAACACACAGGGGTGCCGCCAATTTGGTTGCGTATCGGGCCTTCTCAAGCGTTTCTTAAGGTCCTCGAACCGTCGGTTTGCAACGAGGTCAGTGATAGAGGAGAGCGAAGGAGGAGAGAAGAGCAGGAGAGAGAGAGAGAGAATACGTGTGTGCGTGTGTGAGAGAGAGGGGAAAAAAAAACAACACAAGGGATCGAGAGGAGGCATTTGTTGCTCACCGCCGCTCGATCGAGCGCGCCACGCGTGGCACGCGCGAGGTCTAGGCCTGGCCTCTCTTGGCCTATCCTGGCCTCCTCGCCTCTGTTGGCCTCTCCTGGCCGCATCTCCTGCGGCCTCCTTGGCCCCCTGCCTCCTAGCCTCTTCTGGCCTCTCCTGGCCTCTCCTGGCCTCTCTTGGCCTCTTCCTGGCCTCTCCTGGCCTCTTCCTGGCCACTCCTGGCCTCTCTCCTGGCTTGTCGTTCTGGCCTCTCTTGGCCTCTCTCTTGGCCTCTCTCCTGGCATCCTCTCCTCTGGCCTCTCCTGGCCTGGCCTCTCCTGGCCTGGCCTCTCCTGGCCTCTCCTGGCCTCTCGTGGCCTCACGGCCCGTTCGGGCTTGGCCTGTCCTCGAAGCCCTCGAATGCAGCCCTGCTGCGCACGATCGCGTCGAGACCAGCCTGCCTCGCCTGATCGACGATCGCTTCGAACTCCGCCGCCGCATGGTTGAACCCCTCATCAATCAAGCGCTGCTCCACCCGGTGCCTCTGTGCGGGCGGCAGCGTCCTGACGAGCCGCGTCACCTCCGCGTCCATGCAGTCCTATATCTGGGATTTGGAACACCTCCACGTCCTCCCTCGCCACCCTCTCCACCTAACTGCCCCGTTCTCCTTCCTCCGATTCGTAAACCCCCCACCCTCCCTCCCCCATCGGTCCTTGAGCGAAGTCCCGAAGGGATAGCACGCTCGAATCTCGTCCTGCCAGTGCGCGATCGAGGCCACCATGAACGCTGGCACCATCGCCAGCGCTCTGTTGACTTCGAAGCGCTGCGCGGCGCGGACCTCCCGCTCACGAGGGCTTTGTGGGACGCTCTCGGTGGGGCCTCCTAGAGCCCTGAAGTCTTCCTTCAGCAGGAGAAGTTCCTTGGGGTGCCCCCATCCCCCCGTCATCGCATCCCGCGCGAATGAGATGATCGCCCCCCCTCCTGTGGCTTCGAAGCCTACTCGGATTACGCCAACATCGGGCCCGAAGACGGCCCTCAGCGGGGCCGATGGGACTAAACGTGGGAGGAGGTAGGAGGAGCACGGGATCGAGCAGGAGTGGAATCGTTATATAGGAGCCAGAGTATGGGAAGGACTTTGGACCCAGTGGGTCCTCTTCGGCCAAGGGCCTCCACTGAGCCCTGTTCCTCGCTGAGAAGATGTCCAGCACGATCCAGCGCATCGTGAATATGCAGAAGCTGATCTCTGCGAAAGGGGACTCGTCGCTGGATTCGTCCATCTCCCAATCCACGTTATCCTGCCTCTGCCCCTCCTCTGATCTGGCGGATCGCGAAACCGCTCGAGCCAGGAGCGGCGTCGGCGGTGCAAGGGAGGGAAACAACATGCAGTCTCCTCGCTCACCGCTCCGCCCCTCTAGACTTTTTGGCAGTTCTTATCTCAGTACCGCTCTCTCGAATCTCTCACTCTCCCTCCTCTATCTCTAAAACTCTCTCTATATATAGTCCTCCCTTTCTCTCCTTTTAGAGGGTATCTTCTCTCGCTCTCTCTCTCTCTCTCTCTCTCTCTCTCAATCTCTCTCTCTCTCTATTTCTCTCTCTCTCTCTCTCTCTCCCACCTCTCTCTCACTCAGGTTTCAATCTCGGCAGGCTCCCTTGACTTGCCGCCTCGCCAGTTCAGCGAGCCCTCCTCCTCTCGAGTGTGGGGGGTGGCGGGAAAAAAAGAGCGGAGGAGCCAGACGTGGAGGGTTCGGATGAGGAGAAAGATGAGGAACTTGACGGAGCTCGAGGGGCGGGTGAGGAGAGCATACCTTTCCTTGGCCGCGGCGACGCCACGCGCAAGTACGTCGCATGGCTGCGCGGGCATGGGCTCTCTCAGCTCGCCCGCGTCGCCTCGGCTCGTCCTCACCCTCCTCGCTTGGCCTCCTCGCCTCGCCTCTCGCCGCGCCTCCTCGCCTACTCGCCTCTTCGCCTCTCCTCTCCTCCTCTAGGCGGGCTCATCCCTCCTGTCGGGCCAGTATGAGCTCGAGCTTGATCCCCACCAGCCCTGGCGCTGTGAGGAGTCCTTTGCCCACCAGCCCTGGCGCTGTGAGTCCTTTGCCCACCAGCCCTGGCCCTGCGATTCCCAGCTGGGCACCCTGCTCGTCCAGTCCTCCTCCCGCGGCTTATCCTTGCACGGCATTGCTTTAGCTGGTGCCCCCGTGTCGTCTATGGCTTCTGGCTCTTCGAGGTCGTTCTTCTCTGCCTCCTTGCGCTCTTTCGCCTGCTTCGGCTCTTTCTTGCGTTTCTTCTTCTCCCTATCTTTCTCATCTGCCACTTCGCGCTCTGCTGCCTCCACCTGCTCAGCTGGCTGCGTGGCGATATCGATCTCCTTCTCGGGATCCACTGGAAGGCGCAGAATTTCCTCGTCCTCCTCCACTGACTTGATCGACCGCCCCCCGCTTTTCTCTTGCTCACGGGTTCTCTTCGCGCTCTTCATCGCAGGGAACACGAAATTGTCATGATAGAGCTCATCCAATCGTCGACCGAACTCCCGAATTAAACCGAACATCTCATCAACTCCAGGCTTTCCCGCGTGCGACGCGATGATCTCTAATAAGGCCTTTTCCTTCGAGATGATCTTCACGTTGAGCACCTCATCTTCTTCGCGGTCCCAAGCCATCATGTAGTTTGGGCCCCTCATGGCCTTGTCATTGTCTCGCTTCAGGGTTGCCTTCGGCCTTAAAATCAAGCGCATGGTCGTGAAATCTCGCCGAGTGTCCCAGCTGCTGTCGTCCATCCGCTGCTCGGCGACCTTTGGGATGACAGGGCGAGGCGAGGAGGAGGGATGACAGGGGGGATGGGAGGGGCGGCAAGGAGGATGCGATGCGGACCTTAGCCTCCAGCCCTTCCGCATCCTCGGCCTTCAAACGCGAGGTCTCCTCGCGGCGCCTTGTTTTTTTCTCCCCCCTTGCAGCGATGTCATCGAAAATGCGCCTCAAGTTCTTGTCCGACTTCTTTTTCTCCTTTTTCTTCTCAGCTTTCTTGTGCTTCTTCTTATTCTTTCCCTCCTCCTCTAGATCTCGAGCTATCTCTTCCGCTGGCTTCTCCTCGTCCCAGTCAAGCGAACATGCTGGCGACCTCTTGCCATCGTCGTCGGCATCTGATGTACTCGAGGATATATCTTCTTGCGGCTTAGCTCTCTCCCTCTTCTCGTCTAGCTCGTTCCTAAACTTCGCCAGCATCTCGTGCGCGAGCGCCATTGCTTGAGGAGTGATGTCAGGTGGGCACTCGACCTCTTTCCTCGCCTCGGCATCCTTCTTCTGCTCATTGGCCCCTCCTCCTCCTCCTCCTCGAGATCCTCCTCCTCCCTCAGCGCTGCTCGCCGCCTGCATGGCGTCGCACGGCCGCGGCCGCGCGCTGGAGCGCAGCCAGGGTTCAGCCGAGCGCGGCTGCATATAGAGAATTCACCACATTCCTACGGTCAACATTCCTACGGTCAGAACTCCTACGTTGCAAATTCATACGCTCAACATTCCTACGGCACACATTCCTACGCTCGACATTCCTACGCGTAGGAATTGGGAGCGCAGGAATTCGAGGCGTAGGAGTTGGGAGCGTAGGAGTTGGGAGCGTAGGAGTTGCGAAGGAGTTGCGTAGGAGTTATTATGTGTTTCTCTTTAGGAGGCGAAGGAGTTGCGAAGGAGTTGCGTAGGAAAGTGGGTGCGTAGGAGTTTGAAGTTGCGTAGGAAAGTGAGTGCGTAGGAATGCTGTGCGTGGGAAAGTGAGCGAGGGAGTTAGAGTAGGAATGTCGTGCGTAGGAATGTTGCGAAGGAATGCTTTGCTATATATGCCATCAACCCTCTGGCACCAATCCTCTCTGGGCCGCTTATTCCTGGTTCTGGGGTCG